CCCCCCCCCATCCTGCCATCCCTCAAGTATCTATTTTAGTTAAGGGGTAATATAAGGAAATGTTTAACAGTAGAACATGCAAACAATAGAGAAAAGTAAGACGAAGAAAAGTAAAAGTGTCTAGAAATCTTTGCTTAGAGAAAAAAGCTTTTAACTTTCTGGTACACATTTGCGCCCCTTCTTCTGCATCTTTGCCCCTAACTCTCCCCCTTCCACCTGTCCAACCATTCATTTGTCCAGATTGACTTAGCCTTTTATATACATGGTATAACCTGCTTTTTTTACTCAGATTTACATCCTGAACAATTTTTTCTGCCAATGTAAATCCACACAGGACAGTGGATTTGTTTTTTGTCTTTATTTATGTATTTCAGAGAGAGTGAGCCAGAGAAACACTGATTTGTTGTTCCACTTATTTATTCGTTCACTGATTGCTTCTTGTATGTGGCCTGACTGGGGATGGAACCCAAAACCTTGGTGTATCAGAACTATGCTCTAACCAAGTGAGCTACCCGCCCAGGGCCTGATTCGTTTTGTTTTTGTTTTGTTTTTAATTCTCACCAGAGAATATTTACTGATCTTAGAGGAATAGAGACAAACATTCGTTGGTTGCCTCTTGTACTAGCCCCAACCTGGGACCAAATTGGCATGTGCCTGATCGGGATCAAACCCTTGACCTTTCAGTACACAGGACAACACTCAACCAACTGAGCCACACTGGCCAGGGCCTGATTTGTTATTTATTTTTTATTTAAATGTTTTTTATTTTATTTTATTGATTTCAGAGAGAGAGAGGGAGAGGGAGAGATAGAAACATTAGTGATGTGGAGAGTCATTGATCGGCTGCCTCCTGCAGGCCCCTTCCTGGGGATTGAGCGCACAACCTGGGCATGTGCCCTGACTAGGAATCGAACCATGACCTCCTGTTCATAGGTGGATGTTCAACCACTGAGACACAGTGGCTGGGCCTGATGTGTTATTTTTATAAAGAAAAAATGTTAATAAAACGGTTACATGAAACAACAGTTTTTATACTGGTAACACTGCCATATTATTTTGATACACTCCCCCACCCTCAGTTTTTATGATAATGTAATTTTTACTGATGGTGTAATTGCATGGCATGTCAACGCAAACGTGTCTCATCTGTATTAACCATTCATGCTAGCAGACAATGTTTACCTTAATGCAGTTACAGTGTGGACTTCTGAGAGGCAGTGAGGTGTTTACAGTCAAAGCTTTTAAAACAGAAGCTTAGAAAAATTGCTAAGGGCATTAGAGTGTAACAGCATTCTTAACAGCTTGCTTACTGAAGTACCTTAGAAGGTGATGGTAAAGACCATTCCTCTCCATTCTTTCCCACTATGGTTAAGGTAAGTGCTATGGTCCTATAAATCAGTGTATAATGCTGGGCTTGGGTTTATGTGAGTTTGTTTGTTGGTTTGAAAAAGTAATTGAAACTTTGAAATTATTTTTATGTAATAGTTTTATTCTTAATCTTTAAAATGATACAAGTAAGCACTCACATTTCTCTTTTAAGAAAAGAAATTACTTTTTAATGTTTTTGCTGTTTGAATATTTAAACTGTGCTGTAATTCTCATCTCTGTTTTGGAATTTTAAGAAAGTTAATTTTTTAAAAAGTTAAACAGTATTCTTTTAGGTATTCATAGTTTTAATTTCTAAATCCCTTGTTTTCTTAGCAGAGTGGGCACTTAGTAAATATATGTTGAAGAAAATTACAAATGACTTCTTCCATTACGAATAGAAAACATAATTTAAGTGTGTTTGGGTTGATGTGCCAGTTTCTCTATATACTGCCTATGGGTAGTTGCAGGACAGGGCATATGAGGAAGCCAAATGTGAGGGTTGGTATCCTAGTGAAACATACTGCACAAGAGGAGTAGAGTCTTAAGACAAAGACAGGATTTCTCCTAGATCCAAGGAGAACCTGATGAGTTTGGAATAGTATCTGAAGATCTGACCCAGGCGGGTGGGGGAAGGAATTTTCAGCAACATTTTGACTAGTAGATTAGTGTTTCTTCAGCTTGGCTTTAAGCCACTTTAGAATGGCTTACTAAGGAATGGTAGCTGTGTGCAATATATCAGATTGTTAGTCTTGTGAGGACAGTTCAACCAGGACTTCTGCCCTCTAAACAATTTTTTGGTTTTTACAGTCTCTAAAGAAGAGTTCCAATAGAATTTTAATCATCATGAGAACTTCTTAGTCTTTTAAAAACCAATGCTTTGTAATTTTTTATTAATCATTTGATTTTTTTCTAATACAATGCTGTTTATGCTAGGAGTGTAGTCCAAAAAAGGACCAGAAAACTCCTGCATCCTTGGTGGCTTCAGTTGGTGGTCCTTCAACAAATTCTAGCACATCTGCCGTGGCCTCCACCAGCTCTAGCTCTACTCCAGCCCAGGAGACCATCTGCCTTGATGATTCACTAGATGAAGACCTTTCTTTCCACCCACCTGCACTGGATCTTGTTTCTGAAGCTTTAGCTGTTATCAACAATGGGAGCAAGGGCCCTCTAGCTGGCTCAAGGATAAGCATGCCAACTGCAAAACCTCGCCCAGGACTGAGAGAAGAAAAATTAGCAAGTATCATGAGTAAGCTGCCACTGGCTACTCCCAAAAAACTAGATTCTACTCAGACTGCACATTCATCAAGTCTTATTGCTGGTCACACAGGGCCAGTACCAAAGAAACCCCAGGATTTAGCTCATACTGGCATCTCTTCAGGCCTTATTGCTGGCTCTTCAATTCAGAACCCTAAAGTTTCCTTAGAACCTTTGCCTGCAAGGCTACTTCAACAAGGACTGCAGAGGTCAAGCCAGATTCATGCTTCTTCCTCCCAGACCCATGTCTCCTCTTCCCAAGCCCAGGTTACTGCCTCCTCTCATGCTCTGGGGACATCAGAAACCCAGGACGCTTCTCCGTTAACACAAGTGACAAAGGTGCACCAGCATTCAGCTGTCCAACAGAATTATGTGTCTCCATTGCAGGCAACCATTAGTAAATCACAGACCAACCCAGTGGTGAAATTAAGTAATAATCCCCAGCTTTCCTGTTCATCCCCACTTGTTAAGACTTCAGATAAGTCACTTATGTACCGCCTTCCCTTACCTACTTCCTCACCTGGAAATGGTTCTCAAGGGTCCCACTCCCTGGTTTCTAGGACAGTTCCTAGCACCACTACCTCCAATAACTATTTAGCCAAGGCTATGGTGTCACAAATCTCCACGCAGGGTTTCAAATCTCCCTTCTCAATGGCTGCATCCCCCAAACTTGCCGCATCTCCAAAACCTGCCACATCCCCTAAACCCTTGCCCTCACCTAAGCCTTCTGCCTCACCCAAGCCCTCTCTGTCAGCTAAGCCTTCAGTATCAACTAAACTTATTTCTAAATCCAACCCGACTCCCAAGCCTTCGGTTTCCTCGAGTTCTTCCAGTGCAAGTGCACTCGTAGCCCAGAGTAGCCACTCCAGCAGTAACAACCCAGTCCATAAACAGCCCAGTGGAATAAACATCAGCAGGCAGTCTCCCACCTTGAATTTATTGCCCTCTAATCGCACTTCAGGCCTTCCGTCTACAAAAAACCTTCAGGCCTCATCAAAGCTACCAAACTCGTCATCCACTGGAACTATTGGGAAGAGCAGCTCGAGTGGAATCGCGATGAATGTACCTGCCAGCAGAGGTGGCAACCTCAACTCAAGTGGAGCCAGTAGGACTAGTCTATCTGGGGGAACAGGAAGTGGAACACAGGGTGCTACTAAACCGTTGTCTACTCCACATAGACCTTCCTCTGCCTCAGGGTCTTCAGTGGTAACAGCCAGTGTGCAGGTATGTATGTCATACACGTTCATGGGATAAAATGTAAGATTGTGTAACCTTTCTTTCCTTATTAAAATATATGGGTTGTTTGTAGCAGCTTACAGTTTATGGCTGAGGAATGTTCCTGATGTTGATATCACAGTGATGGGGATACTTGGAGACCAGGTTTTTGTTGGAATGTGGAACCCCCCCCCCCAGTAAAGTATCATATGCTCACTTTCAAAAATTTTGAAAGACATAACCAAAAATGCATATTTAAAACTACCTTATTAAAGTCAGAACAAAGTAGTAACTTACAAATTTAACATACTTTCCCTTGTCTCCTCTCTTCCCCACTCTAGTCCCTTACCTCCTGCCAACTTTCTTAATCAAATTTCTGCATTCATCTTATTTTTACCTTTAACCGTTTGTCTTTTTTTTTTTTTTTTAATATGTCTGTTGATTTCAGAGAGAGAAAGGGAGAGAGAGAAATAGAAACATCAATGATGAGAGAGTCATTGATCAGCTGCCTCCTACACACCCCCTTCTGGGGATGGAGCCTGCATCCCCGGCATGTGCCCTGACTGGGAATTGAACTGTTATCTCCTGGATCATAGGTCAGTGCTCAACCGCTGAGTCATTCCAGCTGGGCAACCATTTGTCTTTCGAATACAATTTTTATTTTTCATGAATTTTATAATTATTCATATATTATTCTCTTTGACAGGTTAGTATCGGTTATCCTTTTACACCACAGCTTCCCCATTTGTGAAATTTTAGTTTAAATTTATCTCTCAGTTAGTTAATAGAAGTACCTCACCCAAGGAATCTTTTCAAAAAGGCTAAAATGAAAGCTGTTTTACCTTAGCTCTTACATATCTGATCACTTCTGTGCTGTCACAGTTGAATAGTTGCAGACTTCTTGGGTCACTGATTGTCTCCAAGTTTTGTAAATACTGTTCCACTGACTCTTTGTATTTAGGATTACAAAGGAGTCTGAGGTCATTCTGATTTTTTGTTCTCTTATCAGTAATGTGTTTTCTTTGCCTAAATGCTAGTAAGATTTTCTCTTTTTTTGCTTAAATTCAAGTGTCTCCAGACTTTGGCTTGGTTTATCTTGTTTTCAATAATTCTGTACCTATCAGTCTGTTCAATCTCAGACCAGGCGATTTTTTTTTTCAGCTCAAGAATATTCAATTATGTGTGGTGATGATTCTGATCCATTTGGCCTAGGCTTTTTGAGAACTCTTCATTGCTCATGTATTTCATCTCTGCCTTCCATATCATCTTCTCTGTTACTATTTTCATCTCTCTCCCACTTTGTATTCTGAGACTTTCACATTACTAATTTTTTCTTTAATGCCCCCCCCCGAAAAGAAATACATGTTATTCACTGTAGGCAAATTCAAAAAAAGAAAATAAAAACACCCATTATCCCACCACTATGTGTATTTTCCTGATACTGTTTTTATAGACTTTTTTAAGAAAGTGAGTTTTCCATACTGTTCTATTTCATAACAAGTGTTTAAAAAATATAATATTTTATAATGTGTGCATAGGTTCTTAAATATCCTTTAACAATATGACATTGATTTATGGAATTCTGTTCTCTGACAAAGTGCTCTAACTTTGTACTGTGTCCTGTTTATGTGGAATATGAACATTTAATGAAAGAATTTTCCACTTGGTGTTCTTAGAGGTTCTCTACTATTCAATACAAGCTAAACACTGGTATTCAATGTACACGTAAGACCCAAATCATCACTCTGCTGTTGCTGTGGGCTTAGAAATGAATTTATTCCAGAATTCTAATATAGGACAAAATTCAATTAACTGATACTTTATTAATTGGAATCTAGGATTCATTGATGTTTTGTCAACATGATTTTTTTATCAGAAATATGAAAGTAACAAAAACAAACTGATTAGGGATTGTATGTTAAAATTTAAGTTATAACTAAAATCTGGGAGTTAGTCTACATTCCTGTTTATTTTACCTTTATTAAAATGTTGACGTTTTCAAATTAATCTTTAATTTGATCAATGGAATATTTGAGAGGATTATAATAGAAATGGCAGTTCCTTGTCCCATGCCCTCTTTCTTAGTGCCTACTACTTTTAACTCAGCTTTTTCTCTGTGTGTTTCTAAATAAGAACGAATGGCAGACTCTCCGTTTATCCATTTGCTTATTGGCTTCGCCTTCTCGTTGTGATAATGAGGCGTTCCCTTATGTTTTCCCCATTCTCCTGAAAGAGTAAAATGACGGCTTTTGGTTAAATCCATGACTGTAAAATATTGTCTTTGTTGAGCTAAATATTGTACACTATGGTTTCATTTGCTTTCTTATAAAATTTTGGCTTTTTTCTTGGAGTTAAAAACTTTTTTCACTTGCTTTGTTTTCTTTGAATTTAATGTTAAATCTTTCTTTATCCTTTGTCATTTCCAGAATCTAGCAGTTTTATTTTTTTTCCAGGAAACCTTCCTGTATGTGATCATTTATGCCAAAAGAACACAGATACTTGGTATACCAGTTGTTTATCAGTCTGTCAGCATGTGTTTCTGCAACATGCTCCCTCTTGGTCGTCTCCCTCTCTGAAATAGCTGTGACTTGGAGACCTTCTTTCCTACCTTCGTGTCTGATTCTTTCTGTTCTGTCTCATGGGTTTGACTGAAGTAAAAGGTCAATAATTGAGTAAGATTGTTTCTGACGTTTAGTGAACCTAAGGGTTTGTGTGTGTTTCTTAATAGCATCTCATCGGAAGTCTTACCAGCAGCCTTGTGGCCTCTGTCTAGATCCTGTCTCTCAGGTACTCCAACACTAAAAACAGATTTCCTCTCTGTGCCTATAGGAATATTAACTCCTATCTGAAACACATCATTAGCTGTCTACTCGTTTGCAGAGTGAAAGTGACTGGCCTTGAGTTTAACAGAAGTTAAAATCTTTCTGGGTTCAGATTATTACCTCTCTACCTGCTTTCTGTTTAATAATTTTCCACTCCTGGTGCTCCTCTTCCTTCTTGTCCTGCAACTAGTTTCCTATGAATCCCGTCTTTGCCACTTTATACTTCCAGAAATAACTCATTTGTTAAACAAATGTTTATTAAGTGTTTAACATGTGCCAGGCACTGTTCTAGGTGCTGGGGAAACAGGACGAACATCGTATTCAAAGTCCCCCCACTTACGGAGCATATATTTTAGGTAGGAAGACAAGCAAAACACAAGTTTTAGAAATATGTTAAGTGCTATGAAAAAATGAAATGAAATAGTATGATAAAGTATGATTGTTCCTAACGCAGATAAAGGAGTTGGAGAAGGCCTCTTTGAGGAGGCAGCATTTAAGCCAATAATTGAATGAGCAGGATCCAGCCTTTGGAGATAAGAGGGAACAAACAATGGATGGTGGGTGTGAAGACAGGAAAGAGCCTGATGTGTAGACCTGCATGGCAAGACCAGGGAGAGATGGGTAGATGATGAGGTTGGAGTTCAACCAGTCCCATGTGGTGAAGGACCTTGTGGGCCCTGATAAGGACTTGGGGATTTATTCTGTGTGTAGTGGGAAGCAATTGGAGGATGTTTTACAAGGGAGTAGTATAGTCTAATTGATACTTCTAACGATCACTCTGGGTGTTGCAAGGAGTGGAGGCAGATGCACTCACCAAAATAAAACACATGGTTAAAAATGTAATGCCAGCTACAGGAAGAGAGAGCAAGGATTCCCTCCATACTTTCCCCTGGGAATGAAGTGTGGAGGTCATAGAAAGTATTTTTGATTGTGGGGCATTATTCTGATCTGTTTGCCTGCTTCCTGTTGACAACTTTTCCTGTGTGCTTCTGAATGATGTCAGTGATGAGACGCCCCACTTTGAAAGGTCTTAGTCTTGTAGGAGAGAGAAATTTATACTATGTAACATATAGATAATCTGCTATTTCATTTTAGTTTATAAACAAAATTAGATTTAGAAATCCTGACAGTACAAACATGTTAGACACTTATGGCATGACACCATTTTTTATTGTTAATACTAAGTTACTTAATTTTGGAAGTTGCCTTAATTTACATTTTCCATCTATGTTTATTGATATATTTTTTTAAGAGAGATAAACATCTATTGGTTGCCTCCGACATGCACCCTTATCAGGGATTGAGCCCACAACCTAGGTATGTGCCCTGACCAGGAATCAAACCCGGGACCTTTTGGTGTACTGGACGACACTCCAACCAACTGAGCCACACTGGCCAGGGCATTTTCCACTAGGGGACTCTGTTTAGGGTGCACTACCTTGAACTGTGTACCTCATATTATCTTGAGACTACAATAGGATTTTGATTAAAAAGAACTCTTATTAATTCTTAAATTGATGCTGAATCCTTTCTACCCAAGTTGCTTCAATGCTAACTTTGTAATTCTTTCCTTAATGCGCCCATTTTGTGAATCACTATTGGCACAACAGAGAGAAAGACTGGAAAATAAGTAGAACAGTCTAGTCCAAGCATAAAGTGATAAAGATTTATATGTAAGTGTTAGAGGAAGTTGTAAAAAAGAAAGAATGGGTTGGTTTGAGCTCACCTTGTCCTTCACTTTTTGGTGCCTAAAAGCGAAGGTGTTATGCCTGCGTGATAGGTGAGAACGAGACTTGATGATAGCAGTAAATGTTGCAGGGGATGGTGAGCTCAGTTGTGGACGTGGCGGGTAGGTAGATGAGTGTTAGATATCCAGGTCAGGTTCTTCACTGAACTTTTAGATACACAGGATTGAAGTCGAGGTGAGAGGTCAGGAGCGTGGATATTAATTTGGGAGGTTAAAAATAAAGGAGATAATGGGAGGAGAGACTGTTGGAGAGAGTGGGAAAACCAGAATGCAAAGCTTCCTGAAGGTGTTCTTCAATTTCCGTTCAGCAGTAGCGTGGATGCTAAGTATGTAACGTGATGTGGCGTCTATGTGTGGGAAGGTCATCTCCATTTTTCTCATACACGAAGGAAGATGATCAGCCCTTTATTAATTAATAATATTTACAGATCAAATAATCAACACAAAATAAGCCTGACAGTAGCTACCATGTAAAACTTCTGGCCAGGGAAATTTAGAGTTGGTAAAATAAGGCTATAAAAGAAAACTCAACGGTGGCAGATCTGTAAGAGATAATATCTAATACTGGGGAAACTCATTGTAGTCTTTGTTGATAAATTCACATAGAGAAGAAATAAGTCAAAATGGGAAAAACTGATTGCTATGTGGAAATTGTTTAATGGCTTAAATTAGCTTAATGAAGTATATTTAAGTAATTTCTCAATGAAAGTTCATCAGTGTTAGCATAGTCCTGATTTCAGTGTTTTTATTCATAAACAGTGTTACAACCCAGTAGGGGAATGTCAGTTCAGACACTCCACCTTAGGGAGTCCAAGTTCAGAAAAGAAGTGGAAATGGAAACCAGCTTTTAGCAGTTAAGGAGAGAGTAGGTAATGTGGGAAATGGAGGCATCATTCAGTGAAGTCTGAGGATAAAAGGAATACAAGGAAGTCAGGTGGTTTCTAGAGGTTGAGGAAAGGCCAGGGTATTTGTTGTAGAAAGAGATGAGTTCTTTGTATATGAGAAGGCAGGGGACACATGGGAAAGGAGCAAAACTAGGTTATTTGTACCAGAAAGTTCCACATAGGTGGGATTTATGGCACAGGCCAGGTCCTAGGTCATAGCTTTTGGAAAAGAGGTATGTAAGGCTGGTAATGAGGAGGAACATCCCAGGTGGCCTCATCGCTTTAAGGTGTTAGGATGAACGTAAAGGACACTCAGTTAGGTCTGAGGGAGTGTAAGACAAGTAGCAAAGTGACTGAGCATTTTCAGAGACCACATTGAAATTGTGGGGGATTGATTACTAGTGGTTGAGATGTAGGGGCTAGGAGCAAAGTGGGGATCTAAGGTTAGAAAGGAGTGGATTAAGAGGGTGAATGGGTGTTTATATAGGCAATAAAATAAGGAAGAGTCTAAACGTGTAATGAAGACCTGAGTATAGAATTATTTCCACAACCAATATTGGTAGCTCTTTGAAATATGTTGTTCACCTCAGTCTTCATTTCTATCTCAAAGTTTCTGTTAGAGCAAATATAAAACACAGTCTTGTGCCCATGAGGATATTAAGTAAATCAATTTAGGTTAAAGATTTGATTTCTTATGTATTTTGACCCCTGGTTTCTGCAGTCCACAGCAGGAGCGTCATTATTGGCTAATGCCTCACCTCTGACTCTCATGACATCACCTTTGTCTGTAACAAATCAAAATGTGACTCCTTTTGGGATGCTGGGTGGCCTTGTTCCAGTGACCATGCCCTTCCAGTTTCCCTTGGAGCTACTTGGCTTTGGAACGGACACAGCTGGAGTGACAACCACCTCGGGATCTACCTCAGCCACTTTCCACCATAGCCTAACTCAGAGTAAGTGGGGCCCCTTTATTTACTTGGCTACTTAGTTTGACAGAACAGGAAACAAAATTTATACTAATTGAAAGTCCAATTGGGCTTGTGTAGATTATAGAATTTTTTTAAAAAAAAGTTTATCTGTGTATAATAAGTAAATTACTGGACTATGAGATTTTATTTATAATTTTTAAATGAACCACTATACCACAATTCTAAATGAAATTTATAATAGGAGGAAGTCAGATTTGCTGAGTGTTTGCATACACATAAACATTTATATATATAAAATTTTAAACGTGTGTACTCTAGTGTAAGAAGGCCTTTGAAATTAGGGGCTGTGCTTGCATTAGATAAACTATTTTTTATCTCAGAGATCTCACCCAGATTTAAGAACATCACTGACAAGTCTGTTTTCCTCTCAGATTTACTAAAGGGTTTACAGCCAGGAGCTCAGCATGCAGCAACACTTTCCCACTCACCTCTGCCTGCACACTTACAGCAAGCGTATAATGGTAAGAGAGCCGCCTCTTTCTTATCTCTTCGTTGTTTATATAGCTACATAGGTTGCACTGGAAATGTTTTCTGAAACCGATGTAAATGAAATGACAGAGGTTGGAAAATACATTTTCATATGACTGAATCCTCATTAGCACAAATTTAAGAGAAGGGAAATAAGTAAAATTAGATATTTCGTTACATGTGAAGAGAGCGGTTTTGAAGGTGTTGTATGGAAGTGACAACAAAGAGGATTCACAAAGCAGTGTACAAAATTCATGGCCAGTAATTGCATTAGCTTACATTTGTGGAAAGCTTACCAAGTGCCTGGTAGTCTTGGGACAGCTTACATGTATTAGCTAATTTAATCTTCACAACAAGCCTGTTAGTGAAATAACAATCTCCATTTACAGATCAGGAAACTAAACCAGATATCAGGAGCTCGCTTAAGATAAAACACTAATGTGTTCAATCCGAGATACAGACCCAGGAAGTCTGACTCCACAGACTACATTCTTTTTTTTTTTTAGTATGGGAGAGAGAGAGAAACGTCAATGATGAGAGAGTCATTGATCAGCTGCCTCCTGCACGCCCCTGACTGGGGATTGAGCCTGCAACCCGGGCATGTGCCCTGACTTCCGGGAATCAAACCTACCTCGATCTCCTGGATCCTAGGTTGATGCTCAACCGCTGAGCCAGGGCCAGCCGGGCCACAGACTGCATTCTTAACCATTAAACTTTGCAGCCATTAAATTAATATCATCCAGGCTCTATACATTGTATACTTGTAGCCCAGCTACATCTTTCTGAAATTAGATAGTGGACACTGGATGTACCCATCAGCCTCCAGGTTCTGCTGGCTCTCACCAGCAGTCGACCTCAGTAGACTGCTGATAGTATTCTGAAGGCCAGTTTCAGGATCTTTTGAGCAGAAATAACTGTTCATCTGCCCTCTTAACTTTGGAAGTTGACTGGGGCCTCACTATTGTTTTTGGCCACTGCATTTCATACTATCTTTGAACAAGTTTACAGTTGGCCACAATGTGGAAATAGGAGGTATGGTATGTAGCAGTCGAGGCAACAGGTTGTAATGAATCCTGTAACAGACTTAAGTGGTAAGAATGAATATAAAACCACAGCTGTGCAAATGGGGGACACAAAGTAGACACAAATGTCAGCAATCCTGATCTTCCTCAACTAGGTTTTAATGCTTAAGGAAAATTGCCCTGTGACTAAGGCAGTTACTGGTATAATGAGACCAGCTTAGGACCATGTGCTCATGGGTGGACTGGTTTGGACAAACAGGAACCTTGTGGTTCAACATGACCCCAGTAATCCAGCTTTTATATGAATTCTCTTGTCTGGGCAGCACCACTGTTCCAGAGGGAGAAAGAAATAGGACTCTCAGTGTTTTCCAAGTAATTGAAATGAAAAGTTCACAATTTTTTATTTTAAAGACATTTAAAAGTATTGGGCTTGGACTTTCAAATTCCAAGACTGCCACTTGGAGCAACTTTCTTGTTTGTTTGACCATCACTTTCTCTTGCTTGTAAACTAGGGACAAGATGTTTTTATTTTATTTTATTATTTTATTTATTATTTTCTTAAATATGTTTTTACTGACTTCAAAAAGAAGAAGGAAGAGAGAGAGAGAGAGAAACATCAGTGATGAGAGAATCATTGATGGGCTGCCTCCTGCATGGCCCCTGCTGGAGACTGAGCCCACAACCTGGACGTGTGCCCTGACCAGGAATCGAACCATGACCTCCTGGTTCATACGTGGATGCTCAACCACTGAGCCCTGCTGGCAGGGCCAACAAGATGTTTTTAATAGGTTTCTTACGAGAATTTAATCAAAATAATTTATTTAAAGTTTCAAGCATGTTACCTCATACATAGTTCACTTAATGTTAATTCTCTGACTTTATCTAAAGGTAGGGATCAGTAAACTTTTCCTATGAAGGCCCACATAGTAAATATTTTAGGCTTTGAAGGGCATTTAGTCTCTTATCACAACTACTCAACTCTGTCTCTGTAATGTGGTGAAAATAGTCATAGACAATATGTAACATGAGTATGGCTGAGTTCCAATAAAACTTTATTTATAGAAAGAGGTGGTACACCAGCTTTGACCCTTGGGGCAGACCTTGTTCTGATGACTCTCTCCACTTAATACCAGCATTTTATTCTGCTAATTAACCAAAGCTTCTTTGAACAAAATTCCACCTTGCCATTTTATAAATTTAATTATGCCTTAAGTTAAATCATTTCTCTCTCTAAATGCAAGTATATAATATCTCATTATCAGTGGAAAAGCCAGTTCCTTGGATGTTATCACTAAACTTATTTTAATAGTATTCTGTTTATACAGCTTTCGAAATAATCATCCTGTTTTGTTGATACGTATTTTCTTTAGTAGAGGCATTTTTTTGTTGTTGTTTATGTTTTACCAGAGTGATTTCGATACCACGAGTGGACCTAGCAATGTGACTTTTGTGCTCTCCCCTGGCCATAAGATTGTTACCGTAGTATAATATTTTGTGTTTTTCACCGGTGTGTTTCTATCATGCCTCCTCATCTTTTTCTGTTAAACCTGGCTGGTGGGGATTTGGGGGGCTCCCTAGTAGAGACTCCCTCTATATTTTTTAGGTTTTCAAAGTCACTGGGTCCAAGTTTTACCCAGTTTAAATAGAGTAAGCAGCATTTTCCTAGTAAAAGTTATATAGCCATATGTAGAACTAGAAACCCTTGTTCCTAGTAGCAGACTTTCCTGTCACTTAAATGTTTTCAGGTTAGGACGACAACAAAGACTCAGCTGGATTTTTCACTACAGTGTGCCCCATTCATTTACATAGATAATTGAGAATTAATTATCAAATGCTATGTCCTGGCAAGAAATTTAATTTTACTTGCGAAAGAATGAAATTGACCTTGTGTTCTAAAGGAATCAAAAGATGTGGTGCCTTCCTTGAAAAGGTGGGGGTTATGTCTTTTATGTCCCTTTATAATCCTCATAGCATTTAGCATAATTGGCTGTGAGGTAGATGTAATAAATATTTGTTGAGATAGCATTTGTACGACACTGAAAACCCATTGAACCAGTCGTTTGATAAGAAAGTCATTTTTGTTGAGATTTTATCTCCTTTATGTTTTCTCAAGCTCTGTAATGCTATATATATAGCACGTTAGATAAAGATTATCTCTTTAGCAATGTCATCCATATGAAAATTAAAAGTTGTTCTTTATGCTTTGCTTCTTAAATCTGTTTTTTACACCATGCCTTCCCATACCAATTAAACGTCTCTTTTCGTAGATGGAGGCCAAAGTAAAGGGGACACTAAATTACCACGGAAACCTCAGTGACTTCCCAACAAGCAAAGGAGATGAGACACTCAGCTGGCTGATGGAATCTACCTGATGGGAAAGTACTCATGTGGTCATAGGGCTGCTGTTCTGTCGATGTTTACATTCTCTCGTCCCAAGCACTGTGGTGAGGAGGAAAAGGAAAGAAAACATTACTTGAGTTCAAGCCAGGTGCAGGAGGAAGAAACGCTTTCTTGCAAAGTTAGTGACCTTTGGTCCCTCCTAGAGAAAGACAGTTACCATGTTAACTGACTTGAAAGAGACTCAGTTGTCAAACCCACAGAAGTGCAAATTTGGTGTGTCTGTCCCCCCTGGGGAGGAAGAAGGAAATTGAGGATTTGGGTAAACATCATCCATCCTGGGGGTCGGAGCTGAACACTTGTAGACATAATTGCATAATAAAAGGCAGTTTATCTGCATTTAGGCCAGTTTGTCAGGAGTCAGGATCACGTCTGTTTAAGTGGACTGGAGCAAGTTTGCCACACACAAAAATTAACGACTCTATGTCAGATACAGACCGTAGAAAATACTATACCCTCAAAAATCCTGAACAAACTTGAATCTTCCCCAGTGTGTAGCAACTCCCCATGTCAATCAGTGGACTAAAGATGCTTTAGGAAAGTTATTTTAGCACAGTGATGTGTATTATTAAATCATTGAGATTTTTAAAAGTTAAGAAATTGAGCCCGTTGCTCTTAACAGATGAAACCTAGATGTCCCCTTTTTGTAAAAGGGTCAATTTCATCTTCCATTCAGAAGCAGGTACTTAAATTAACTCTCTTCTTCAGGTGTTTGTGCATCTGGTGTTAACTGGTTAACTTTTATTTCCATTCTTGATGTTAAAATGTGACTGTTCACATTTTTCTCTTGAGATATGGGGATCTTTGATGTAGGGCCGTGGCTTTGGTGCTCTTAGCCTTTGCAGGTCTACACTATGAACTAAATTTTCCCCAACTCCACCTCAGTTCACAACTTCTGTTCTGGTAGCTAGTGGTACTTCAGGTGACTATTAAATATTGATATAAACAGGTATAATAAGTGTGTACTACATATGCTTCTGTATTGATCATTCAAATACCATATCTATATATATTTTTGGAATTTTCAAGATAGTATTTTAAAGGGAGAAATTACACTAGAATCATGATGTGTACAAGGGATTATTTTTTATAAAAACCACAGTGTATTTTTACTCCCTATATCCAGTGTAGTGAAATTGATTTGGAGAATTTCCTAATACTTACTCAGAATATTGGTATGTGAGTAGACCTGCAGATAGTAAGACTCCTTAGTTATTGTGGCTTCCTTATGCAAATAACATTCTACAAAGGATATTAAGGGAGAGATTTATGGTTTTGTTTGGATCCTTTTTTAAAATTTATTTTTTTAACACCCCATCAGTCTAGTCTTTCTTTTTTTCACTTCCTATTTAGGCTTCTAAATATTTTCAAACTATACCCAGGAATGTTGTAAGCTCGGTCCATTTATAATGACAGACTGACCTAAAAAACAGCATCAGATTGATAGACGCAAGATTTCTTGCGTTTGTTTTCATTACAGATCACCTGATACTGTTAAGTTGATTCAAATAGGAATATTAACCAGGCTCTTTTTCCTTTTATAAGAAAAAGTCCCAAATAACCTGTAGGACTGTGAATAAATTACCACACATCTGTTCAGGTCTGCAGACCTATATTTTGACTTCAAAGTCTCATTGGCCTGCTTCACAGCAAAAAGTTAATAAATAGCTGGAAACTCTAGTTCCAGGAACTTGTTACAGTAAAGGCAAAGGATTATTTCAAAGGAATTACTTGAGTCTAAGAATTTAGATGAGCAGTAAAATAAGAAAATTGCATCTACCCCGGTAGACATTTTGGGAGGATACTGGGATGTTGCAGAGAGGTTTGATTTGAATGGAGTACGTTTGATTTAAAGTTTGTTTGGTTTTTAATTAGGCAAGCTTACCCAATTCCTGAGCTATTCTAACGTAGCACACCTCTTGCTTTTATCTAATTTGGGGAAAAGTCTTTGCTAGTGCTGTGTAGGAGTTTTCCTTTGGGAAGCTAGCCTTTGTTTTGCTTCCCATACCAGAAGGGAAGTCAGTGCATGATAACCTCTTCCTGCTGATAACTGCACGTGTTCATTTGTGTGTGTGAGTGTGTGTTCCTGTAACTGTATTTATTCATATATAACTTAATTACTAGTTTAAGTCAAGGAATAGTAATTTTAATTTCTTAATAAATCCATCAGTTCTGAATCATGCCATATGAAGATCCCTAATGAGTCTGCTGTCATTAGAGAAGAACAGGATTATCAATTCTTCCCCTGGTACCACTTTATAACTCACCGTTAAGAATAGTCTGGAGGCCCTTGGCTCTGAGAAGTTCATATATGTGGAGATTCTGTTCTGTCCTATTCCATCTTCATACCCGTGGGAACTGCTGCCAGATCCCACCTCACCCCGCCCCCCCCCACCGCATTTGCATAGTGCAAATGAAACCAAAAAAATCCTATTTCCTAATAGATAAGTATGATCAGCGAATATAAATACAAAACTATTTCTTTTCTAGATCATAACATTGAAAATGATGTCCATACTTTATGATCACCTGTCTTTACAGTTTTTCTTACTTAAAAACAAACATAAATGGGTAGTTTTTCTTAGCACAGTGACTTGTGACTTATATTGTGTTTTTGCTTTTGTTTTTTTTTTTGTCATTTTTTTAATGGTGAGTAATTGAAAATGATATAGAGCAAAAGGGTGTAGAGCCGTGTTCATTTCTGAAGAGCATTAACAACATCCCAGTGCAAAAGTAATCAGCACATGTAATGATGTCCCACTCAGCGGGATTCTTGATTCAGGAAAATTAAGCTGTTTGTTTTCAGATGTCTTGTATCTTAAATTGCCTTCACTGCTGTATGAGCTGTTACTGTACACACAAGTTAATCCTCAGTATTCACAAGCAATAATGGTCGGCACAGTTGTCTTCAGAGACAGCAGTGCTGAGCCCCCGCTGGAGACTGTTTGGGAGCAAAGTGTCAAGCTCATTCAGAGCCTCCAAAGTCAATGCAAGCAATAATTCCATTACAAGTGGATTACAATTCCTTCTCCTGTGCTCCTGAGATCGGAGAGTAAAAGAAATCATGGTTCTAAAACAGCCTGAAGAAAAAGGTTTTGGTAAAAGAAGTGAGGTTAATCCGAAGTCCCAAAGTCCTGATGTTGTATTAGTACATTCTTTTATGCCTACCACCCCTTTGATGGATGTTGTTAACCCAAATAACATTTTATATCATAGAAGTTGAATAGGGTTTATCGTATCACCAAGGTAGGAGGAAGAACCGGGCATGTACATGTTTGAATACTGTGGGTTTGACACCTGTTTGAAAACAATTTATTGAAAAAGATTTTTAACCCAGAATTTTTTCCCCCCAAAGCAAATCTAAATTGTTTACTACCCAGGGTTGGAAAGGGCAGACACCTCTAGTCTTTCTCCTCTGCTTGCCCTCTGCCACACCCCTTTCCACCTCTACCTGGTTCAAGACAATTTCTGAAATGGAAATTCTACTGTTTTTCAAACTGCCATTGATTATATCAGAAACTCTGTGTCCCTTGGGATCATCTCTTAGAACTCCAGTTACCTATCATATTTGCTGCTACATTTGTAAAATGAACTTTGCCTGTATCGGTCGACATTAACCTAATTTACAGTGCTTTATTTCTAGACGGTCTTGTCCCATGTATAGAATTAGGATACTTTACTTTAGGAGTGTACCGTAAAAGCACACTGGTCCCTCTGTTCTCTGTATCTTCATTTAGATCTTGAATTTGAGTTTGCTTGTTTCGTTGGTAGTATTTGTTTTGTTTTAAGTTAGAAATAGAAGAGTGAGGGAACCTGTCATCAGGCCAAACCCCAGAGCCTCCCTGTACTTCAGCACCAGTTTCTGCTGACCTTCGTTCTCAGATGGGGCGCTTTTACTTTTACTTGCTGTTGTGTATGTATGATTGGGTTTGTTCTGTTTTGTGTTTGCTTTTGAGGGCTTTTGTTTTTTAATAAGGAAGCAGAAGAAAAATGCAGTAGTAGGTTACAAACATGTTATGCAATTTTATTTTATAAAATCTAAGGGGAAAAGTTTAACTCTGTAAATCATTTCTTAGCTCTGGTAAAATGCTTACATTGCTCCTCTAAAACATGCTCAGTTCAGGCCTTTATCTTTTTTAAGTGCCTTTTCTTTCTTTTCCCCCTCGTTTGAAACTGTTCTCAGATACCCTGAAGTACAGGCTAATAAGTCAGGGGATTCAGGAGGAAGAACCTCAAACTTGCCAAGGTCATATCATGCTGTAATATTCTTCCTTTTCTTTATAGGTATATGGATATATGTGTAAGACACACACATGCATATATATGGAGATATATATGTATACATATGTAATATATATATAAAACTAGTAGCTGCTGTACCATTGCGTCCTTTCTGAACGCTCCCCTGCCAGTGTTTGCAAGACTTCTGCCTTGTTTATTCCACTGCTTTTAGTCAGTCCGAATGGGTGGGCTGGGAAATTGTCTTTCGCCCTTAGAATATCTGTTTGTAGATGTTAACAAAAAATATATATATAATATATAAGTCAGTTGTTACAAGCAAAATTAACTTAGCAGACTCATAGACTATTCCTGGGTTTAACCCACAGCTCTGTGCCCTTCGGACTTGCATGAGTAATACTGGAGAAAGCACTGGAATAAGTAGTCTTCTGTGGGGCAGGTCAATGAGGTTCAGCATGGCAGGTAAACAGATATGGCGGAGCTAGAGTTAGAGTTGTGGCATTGTATCTGAATGCGTTTGCAAGGAAGTTAGCAGCTTGTCAACATTGAAAATGTATCACATTTTCTTTGGGGAAATGATTTTTGGAGAATTCATATAGCTGCATTGCGTATCTGTCAAAGGTTAATAAATTTAGAAGTAGAAAGACTTCAGATACTGGGGAAAACACTCATATAACCTATAGCATTATTGAGAGATCTTCAGTTTTCATTTGCCAGATACTACATTTGGCTTACTCTGCTTTTATGGTTATTTAGATTCTTCTCTTGAGCAAAATAACATCATTTTGGGTATCTAAGATTCATCCATTTTTTGTTAAAAACAGATGTGACATGTTAAGGGAGACTAAGTTGAAACAATCCTCGAAACCCAGTACAAATACCTAGTAAGTGCCCCTTTTAAGTACATTTTAATTGGGAAGAGGAAACTGGTGGCTAAAAGGAGAAAGCAGGGGCTGTTGGTAGTGTCGCCTGACGGCAGCATGTTATTAGGCATCCGCCGTTCAGTCGTGTTACTCTTGGATTACTGCGTTAGGGGGAATATCATTTACCTTCGTGCCTCAGATTACCCATTAGAATATTGGGTATAATAATATTCACCTACCTCCCAGGGAAATCAGAGACTTTACTATTTCAAAAATACTTCGAGTTTTTCTACAATGTCCTATATAATTAAAAAGTATTATCGTCCTGCAGAGGCTAAAGAATGGGTATAAGAAGCACCGTATGATTTTTAAGTTTAAAAACAAATCACTGGAATTCTAAATGAGATACTTATTTGTTATTTAAGCATATTATATTTGTGGCGGGGTGAAATGGTTACTTTCAGATTAATAAGTGGGAGGGGGGAAGTAACACTACGTTTGTTAATCATACGTAGGGTTTTTTTGCCTTTTATGGTGTTATTTATTACAGGTGTAATTTTTACCACGGTTGCAGAGCTGAAGCTAGGTAAAGTTTGGATGGTTGGTCATTGGAGTTGATTAATGATTCTGAAAGTTTTATCTGCCTCAGTTTTCCATCGTCTCTATCTAATTTCCTTGTATTGGTTGCTTGGTGATGGAGAGCTCAGCTTTTACTGTCTAAGAAAGAATGGGCGCCGCCTCATTCTTGTGAGCTGGAGATTGTGTACTATTCCTTTAACTGCAGGGGCAGGCACTACACACAGTCAGCAGGGTGCACTTCTGGCCAGTCTACCTTTGTAATTTATGCCTCTTTCAACCCATGAAAGAGTTGGAACCATCAACTGTTCGGGTTGTAGGAGATGGGGGGGGGCAGGGTTCACTTCCTAGCAGGGGTGGGGACTGGGGGTAGAAGGCAGCTTCATTTGCCCAACTCCGAGGAGCAAAAGGAAGATCATTTTATCCCACTTTCCATCCCAGCATATTAGGGAGTAATACATAGAATTTTCATTTTATCATTTAAAACCACAGGGAAAAAGGGATGCTGCATTTCTAGGTAGGGCTGAGTGCTGAGCAACCCTTGTTAGGGGCTGAGTACAGACTGAAACTGTAGCACGTGTTCAGGATCCGGAAAGAACGGGGGTGGGGGGGGTGTCGAAGACGTGAGGAACAGATGATCCAGCTGAAGTGCATCAGGAGAGAGCAGCGGGCCAAGCAGACAAGGCACTGGCTGATCCCCAAATTGGCCAAGGCTCATTTAATCTCTAGTGATAGGACATTTTTTCTTACAAATCACTTTTTGATTTTTTTATTACTTTTTCCAGATAAGGCCTTAGTTAGTAGTCTCTAAGTATCAACTATGCAGATAAATATACTCCTTATTTTCCACATTTTTAAATTTTCCATTCTTTAACATTTTAAGACTTCTACCCAAAGAAATAAGGCATAAGGGTTTTGTTGAATGTGTGTCTGTTCCTCTAGGGAAAATTAACAAGCATAAAATAGAGATATTTTATGTGTTCTTCTATCCTAAAATGTGAACCTTATATTCGAAAATTAAGTACAGATCCTTTAATTGGTGCAAAACTGTAGTTAGAATCCTGGAGCATCATTGGGGTTGTTAAGATAAATCATCCCAGTGCTCGATTCTGAGAACGTTTTAGATTTTGTGGCACAGCGTTCAGGTTCATAGAGCTGAACAGATTGTCCGAGTCTAATTAAAAGTAACTTTGAATAGTAATGTTGAATTCTTTAGTCTTCATTCTTCTTTCCTTCAGTTTGAGCTCTTAAGTTAACCGTTTTCTCAGCCAGTAGCAACACTGGACTGTTAGTTGTGTATTACTGAGAGTCTGAGAGGAAGGGTTACGGGACTGTCTCCCCTGTCCCCCCCACTCAGCCATCTGCCCTGTGTCCCACTGAATTCAGGCTCCAGGCATGTTCCAGGCGACTGTCTGCATCCCAGCGTAGACTCAGAGAGGGACTCCAGGGTTTTAATCAGGCTGCCTTTCAGTAACTCGACATCAAATTCCTTTTTCTTAGGTACTCCCAAAGTACCATTTGCTTGGAAGTAGATACTTAAGATCTGTAATTTCTTCATACCATAATACCTTTACTTCTCAATCTTTCTTACATATTTTCAGTTAATAGCGGGTTAATACTTAAGTTTCTGACACCTTTCCAAACTGTTAACCAACCAAACAGGTCAAGAATACTTCAGATATTTCAGTAGTATAATTAATGGGGTTTGTATTTCCAGCATTTAGAATCTTCACTGGTGACCAGAATTTTTTTCTCTCTTCTCCTTTGTATTAAAAAATAAATTTCTCTACATTTCATGGCTTCCTCTTGATGCTTTCGAGCTTGTTCAGAAGAGGCCCAGGCCTTTGTTAGGGGCTCTTATTTCTCACAATTCTCTGCCTTGCTTTTTTCATACTTCCCTGGAAAACCTGCTTTGCAAAGCTTTAAGTCAAACAGGCCATATGAATCCTAGTACCGATTTTATGTTTCTCAGAAAACTCTCTGTACATTATTTGCTCCCACTTGGATAATAATAATATAATTCTATTTTATCTTAAATCTGGTTTTAAAATATTTTATAATGGAGCACTAAAGAAAACCTAAATAAATTCCAACAAGTTGACTATTACCCAAGATAACTTGGAAATACTTCTGTTTTTGAATTCAGCAGCTCCATCCAGCCTCTAAGCACATTTGGAGTTAGCAGTAACCAAGACCGGCCAGTTGGCATGCTTGTCCATGTGACGACCTGCCCTGAATTTGTCAGACCTCAGCTACCTTGTATTTTCTGACCTTGCAGCCATAACCTTTCCCCATTTTTTGCTTATCTCTGCTGCTTGTAAGGGTAGAGTGCTCTGTGCCAGCACACGAGGTTTTCTTTCCCATACCCGCAAAATTACCAAGGATCACCCCAGTTTGGGCTAGAGGCATTAAAAGAGAAAGACGCTCTTCTCGGCTAACAAAGGTATTACTGTTTTATATAGTGAGTCGGAAAGTTGGGCAACTGCAGCCAACTTTTAAAGTCTGGCTCTGCCTACATAATTAATTACACATACCTTCTGAGACCTTCAGCTAACAAGGGGCCTTTCCAGCAGTAGGTGGGTGCATGGCCAGCCTCCAGAGAAAGGATCCAGGCTTGGCTCTGCCCCTTGTTGGCTGTCACTGAAAAATTATATTATAGAAAGTATCAAAAATACAAACTGTTCTTAAGGAGAGTAGGCAAATCTGAGGCTTGCCATTGTGTTTTGTTTGCTAAACATTGTCAAGCTAAAAAGAAGAGGAAAAGAAATCTCTGGCTTGCAAAAAATGTCCCCAAATGTGTTAATCAGTCTACCAAGGTAACTAAGTGATGAGTGTTTTCTCCCTTTTTTACAAGCAAGATCGTTTATTTGCAGTTGTAAAGATTATTGTGGGACTGCAAACCTATTTGCTATCACTGATTGGAAATAAGGATTCTGATTTTTAGTCTGGCTAAGCACATATCTCCAACTTTTACGGGATACATTTTGATGAGGGAAAGACTTTTGTTTGGTAACAGAAGGAAAAACAGGACTTACTGATACAGTGAACGTTCGCTCTGTAGAGGAGCCTCCCTCCCGTTGCACGCCCTCCTCTTACCGCAGCCGCCGCCACGCTTGTTCAGATGCCAGCAGGCTTCACGGCCGGTCTGAAGGAAGGAGCCTGAACCAGGACTGCTGCTCTGGGTGAAAGGCACTGGTTACTGTGTTGCGTTTACTTATAGGGAGGTGCGTTTGTGCTAACTTGAAGGGATATACTGTATTCTAAGTGTGTGACTTAATATTTTGGGATTATTTTTCTTCCTTTAAAACTGGACCTGAACACAGCTTTGAGTTGATATTTGTAATAATCTCAGGACCTGAAAGATTGTAGCATTTAGTGTGTCTTAAAAAATTATGTACTGTACCAGCCATGGATTTTTGTAAATATATGTCTCCCTTTTTTGTATTATTTTAGTAAAAAAATAATAAATTTAAATAAAAGGGGGTGGTGGTGATGTGAGTGGGTGTGGGTATGTGTGTGTGAGTGTCTGCGTAAGGCTCTTTGGAGAGGAACTGGTGCTTGTTTAATTTCCGGCTCTAATGAGAGCAGGGATATGGACAACTGCTGCTACTGTGCCCTGCACTGAGCCTGGGTGTTTCCATCCTGTCTTTCCCAGTGGCTGTTAAAAACGAGCTACCAGGAAACGACCACGAACTTCAGTTTTCCTTCCCACTGCCATCTTGCTTTTGTATCTGAGTTCTGCACACCCTTTGAAGTTTAACGGTAAAGCTTTCCAGTCTTCGGGTGGTTTGCTGGTCTCTAGTTTTTAGAGAACTCTTCTCACTATTTTCTAAGAAGAAAGAAGGACAGGTACATTTTTTAACCAAAATGATACATTTCATAAAACCCTGATGAATTGTGGATATGTGAGAGGGCTTAAACATTCCTAAATATGAATCTGTGAATTTGGTAAATTAACCCCATGCATATACTCCTTCAGTGCAGGGAATTTTCTTTCTTTTTTTTTTTTTTGCAACAGCCTTGCTCATGTTCCAGGTGTAGGTAGCGAACCCGTTTTAAAGCAGGAGCCTTATTTGATTTAGTGTAGATGTTTCCTGTCAATCCTTTGTGACAGGGCCTTTTACATGAGTGGTTTTTCCTTTTTGTATGTGTTACGTGTTTGTTGTATTAAATAAAGAGGAATGTACATATTATTCTCGTGTCTGTTGTGTTATTGGGCGAACTTGGACTTGAACACCTCAGTCTTTCAGGAGTAGTGAGTGTCTTGCCTGCATCCCACTGCGCTCTGCACTGGGATACAGAAGCAAAGGGCACAGCCCCCACCCCGTGTATGGTGACAGTTTGCTGTCACGTGACAGGTTAAAAGATAACAGTTCAAAATTGGTCGTGAAGGTGTGGCCCATTGCTCCCTGACATTCAGTTCAGAGAAAGGGAGGAATTAGACTGGAGAGAGCTGGGAAGACTGTCAAGCAGATGGCAGGGGAGCTGGGCCTCTGAAGATCGCTGGGACTTGGCCAGGAAGCGGGAAAAGGCGCGTCGGAGTGGACAGGGTGAAGCGGGAAGCCGCCCCGACCGCGGGGTGTGCGTGGGTCAGTAGACGCCGGCTGTGGCAGTCCTGGCGTGCAGGGCACTGCTCGTCCTTCGGGCTGTAGGTGGGTGTGTGCCAGGGCGCGACCAGGGGCTTGCAACGTAGGCCAGGAATCATCTGCCACAGGGACCATCTTTTATAGCCTTAGTGCCGACGCTTCTAGGGAGAGTATCACTAAGAGAAGAGCAGAAACAAGTCAACCTCAGAAACAAGCGGGGGTGGGGAAGGGGGAAGGGCAGGGAAGCAGCCTGGCAGAAATGAACAGCTTGTCATTTGTAAGTGTGTAGAAAAGAACGGCCCAGATGTAAAGGGTGGTGGAGAGAGTGCTTTTGGCTTTCCTGTCACTTCAGTGTTTTCAGTGCATTGTCATTAGGAAAAGGCATGGCCCTCACGCAGAGGGGAAGAGGTGGGCTGCAAATGCCTTCATTAGAAAAATTAATAATATTTAAGGACAGTTTGGTGAAAGTGCTCTTGGGAGTAGTAGCCCCTTAAGAAAAGTGTGCTTAAATAACTTGACTACACTTAACATTGCTGTTGCCATCTTGTAGATGTACGTTAACATTTTAAAGGTGCCGTTAAGATTTTTTTGAACCCATAATTTCTTATTTGACCCTGGAATGCTTTTTTTTTTTTTAATCACTCATACTAGTTTCATTTTACTATATTAATCAATTTATTTTATTTTTTAGTGATTTCTGAGAGAGGAAGGGAGAGGGAGAGAGAGAGAACATCAGAACATCAATGATGAGAGAGTCATTGATCGGCTGCCTCCTGCACACCCCCTGCTGGGGATCGAGCCTGCAACCCGGGCATGCGCCCCGATCTGGAAGCAAACTGTGACCTGATCATAGGTCGACGCTCAACCACTGAGCCATGTGGCCAGGCTATTATATTTATTTTAAAAGAAGTTTTTGAGAGGAAAACCATGGCCCAAGGAGTTAAGGATTTCAAGAAGTAAGGAGGCAGAGAAACACAACCAATTCTATAGAGTTGAATGAGGGTCAGGTGTCCAAAAGGTGGGGTTCAAGGGAGTATAGAAAAATATATGAATTGGGAAGTGTGTTTTACACTGGACCACCATGTAGGCAAGAATCTGTCTCAGACCTGAGCTTCAGCACAGGGATGTGTCTGTGGCTGGTGACGCAAAGGGCGGATGGAGCAGCAACTATAGATGGAGATGAAGGCAAAATTAATAAATTTGGGGACAGGAGTACTTTGCTTTCAAAAATTTATCCTAAGAGGAAAATGAGCTGTACAAAGGTCTCTGTACAAGGACATTCATCTCCGTGTTGCTCATGACAGTAAAAGTTTTAAACAATCTAATGCCATGTTAGAGGGGATGGGTTAAGTAAATAAAAATAATATCAAATAGAAATTTTAAAAATAAGGTACGACCGAGATGTGCATGTATTAGGTGAAAGAGCAGTGAGAAGTGTAAGTGCACCTAGGCACAGGAGGGCGCCGGGCGCATACGCTTCAAAACACAGAGCAGTGTTAGGAGCGCTTTCCCCTGAGCCTTTCACTGAAACGAGTTCTCGGTGAGCGTGGGCAGCCGCCAGCCGGCTCTCTGGGGTTAGTGTGGTGGTGTTTTGCTTTGTTTTTTAAACAGGTGGACTTGGTTGAAGACAGGGAGAAAGAAGTGGGAAGGAGGCTCTTGTCTCATCCCTTGGAGAAGGAAAAGATGTTATTTCTTCCGCTCAGACCCTACTAGATCCCACAATTGGACCTGGCTTGGCGGGAAGACACACTGAACTGCTCGATTTAAAATAATGAAGTTTTGGAAAAGATTACTCTTGCACTTGGTTTTTAAAAAACCACGGGCAGACAGCGAGTGCAAAGCATCTCTTCCCTACCCACGGTCCCCATGTCCTTTCCCTAGAGCACCCATGGCTACGTTTCCTGCATTTCTGAGTATAACTAGGTGTGTGACTTTAACATAAATTTAGCGTGGTACCTGCCTGCTGTGCCCAGCACTGCTTCCCGGTCCCTTGGGGTGCGCTCCACATCAGTACGCAGAGGCCGGTCCTTTTACAGCTCACGGCGTCCCATAGCTGAGGTGTCAGGAGGAGGTAGTGTGTTCACTCTTGACTGGTGTGCACTTAGAGCGCCCCGCAGGTCAGACTAACGGCCTTCGTGTACTTCGTCTGTGAGCGCGTATCAGGAGTTCACTTTGACATTGATGGTAACGACCTGACGCCATGGATTTGACAGTCTGCCTAGACTCTGATTGCTTCACACCCCTGTAGGCTTTGAGAAATACATGGGAAAATAAACCCTTTATTTAAAAGAGCTTTGAAGATTGGAAACAAAGGCGCAAGAGTTGATTCTGGTTGCACTAAGGGTTGAGTTCCATTGCAAGTGAGGTCACGAGCTTTTCCAAGGACGGCGACAACCCCTCTGGTGCAGGTCTACTCTGGGATGTCATGGCACCTTCTCTCCAGAACAGTTGCCCTTCCTCATCAGTGTGTGCCCGGACCCGGCTTGCTTTCTCTGTCTCTGCATAGTTCCTTTTTCTCGTGTCCCTGTGTCTGTCCCTTCACCACTTCCCCACTCACTGACTGTCTTTCCTAGTAGCGTGGCACAGCGTGCAGGAGGACATTAGGGACTTCAGTTCCCACGGTGCTGCAGCACTTTAGACGAGATGTCAGCCTGTTTCCTCATTTCCACAGTGATAACACCCAGTGGCGGGGCTTGTTGGCTTAGAGAGTGTATGGAAAAGCACCTAGCATAGTGCCTAGCACATCGAGCTAAGGAATGGTGGCTACTACTCTTCTCTTTTCTGCCTTTTTTCTTCTTAAATTCATGCTTCCTCTTGCTCTCCTAATTTCCCAAAGTATCTAAGAGAAGCCACAGTGTTTTCAAAAGTAATATATATGTATATATAAAGTACAGGCTTGGTTGAGTATCAGTGAGAATTCTTTATTGCAGGTATCAAACCCTTGGCTTCGTAAGTAAAAGGAAATTGCTCTAAAAATAGTCAATTAAACAAAACGGTAAAGGGGATCTTTTGCTTCATAAACTGGTCTAGAGATAAACCCAGTCAGGCGAAGCTTCCTCCAGTGACTCAGTGCCACCCGGATGCTGCCCTGTCTCTGCCCTGGAGCCCGCCGACCACTTCAGGCTCCCCCTTCTCAGCCAGGCGGCTGCTGCAGTGACAGACGACTTGCCTGTGTGGTATCGACTTTGTTTTTGCTTTATTGTACCTCAGATGCAAAGCAGTGCATGTCATGTGCCTCAGTCCACAGGACATGGCCGTCATTGCTCAGTACAAGATCTCACCCCCTTTTTTCACTGTCAGTTTGCCTTCTCCTTCCTGGGTCTCCACTCCCCTCAGTCCCGTAGGCACCCCTTCTTTCTTTTTTGGTGGGTGCCCCTTGTTATGCATGCATCCTTCTCGAGTGGTGTTATTGTATGTGTGTGTAATTTACGTGGTCCTGTGGGGTCAATTTTGCTCTGTCCTGTCTTTCTCGGTTTTCTTAAATTTATCCACGGTGCTGTATGTACGTCCTGTGTGCCGCTCTTACCTCTGCCTGGTATTCTGTGCACCCACATTTTACATGTCCACCCCCTAGGGGCGGATACCTGGGTGGCCTCCAGTTCCTTATTTCCGCTAGAAAGGCTCTCGTCAGTCTTCTGTGAATGGCCTGTTCATCTCCGCTCATCATTCAAGACTGTTATCTGTCCTTGGCATCCTTTATTGAAGAGAAAACCTTACTTTTTGATGGTCAAATCAATCTGCTTTTTGTCTGCATTTATGTTTTGTAGGGCTTGTTATGAAATATTTGCCTAGCCCTCGGTCACAAAGATATTCCCCTACATTTTCTTCTGTTGGCTTCACAGTTTTGCCTTTCACTTTTCCACTTCCGATCCAGCTCGCGCCCCCCTTTGTATGTAGTGTAACATAGGGGTCCAGCTTTACTTTTCTTTCTTTAGTGAGGCAATTTCCCCGCACCGTCTAGAAAGTTAGTACTCCTCCCATTAACTTTTGGTACCGTTTTCATCATATGTCAAAGTCTCATATACGCAGGGGTCTATTTCTGAGCTTTATTCTGTTCCATTGTTCTTTTTATTATTTTAATTTTTTGTTCTTTTTATTTATTTCCGTGCCAGTATCACAGTGTTTTTCAGCCCTAGCCGGTTTTGCTCAGTGTTTAGAGCATCAGCCTGCGGACTAAAGGGTCCCGGGTTCGATTCCAGCCAAGGACACGTACCTTGGTTGCAGGCTCGATCCCCAGCCCTGGTTGGTGCACGAGCGGGAGGCAACCAGTCGATGCGTGTCTCTCACATCAATGTCTCTCTCTCCCCCTCCCACTCTCTCTGAAAAGCAATGGAAAATATATCCTCGGGTGATGATTAAAAATCAAAACCAAAACAACAAATCATGATGTTTTTCAATACTGTAGACTTATAATATGCCTTAATACAATAGTTCCCCGTTACCTGGGGTCAACTACAGTCCAGAAATACTAGATGGAAAAATCCAGAAATAAACAATTCATGTGTTTTAAATTGCTTACCATTCTGAGTGACGTGATGAAATCTCTCACTGTCCCGCTCTGTCCCAGCCAGGGATGTGAACCCCCTCTGTGCAGCGTCCCCACGCTG